TTTTTTTTTTTTTTTTTTTTGTCATAATTTATCTGTATCGCGCAAAATTTCTCAAATTTGCAATGATATGCTATACTATTGTGTACTGTAATGATACACGTGACAAGAAAAGGTGAATAATAACGAAACGATATGTAACCTTTCTAAAGGGGGAAACAGTGAATATTAGATTAAGGTAAGCAATGATAATCGACGAAAACAGACTGACATCCGATTACATGTGTATAGAATAATACATGAATGTTTTATATCATTGTTTTATATCATCAGGATATAAAATACATAACATACAATATGTAATAATGGTACATATTTTGAAACAAACTGTTAGATACTTATATCATATAAAATCGCAGCGAAAAAAGGAAACCATTATCGAACAATAAAATTTACGGTTAAAATCATATTTGTGTCAGGCTTTCGTCGTATCATATAGCATTATTAAGAGAGAAAAAAAAAGAAAAGAAAACAAAAAGGTGTTTTGAAGTTAATACTATGTACCAAAAACATTTGTCATATTTCGATTTATATTCTAGCGATCTTACAGCTGTAAATTACAAATTATGTACTTAACCGTAGTTTAAATTCACGTAGATGAAATGATAAACGTTTCAATAGTTATGAGTCTTTTTTCAATAAGTACGTCACATAGTGCAGTTAAATATCAAAGTTTATATGGAACAAAAATGAAGAGAAAAAGAAAAAGATGATAATAATGAAGATGTTACAAAAGGCTAAGAAACAGTAAAATTGTAGAGAAAATTGATAGGTTACGCTAAAGTCGAACCTGTCCCTTTATGTCGGACCCCCAAACTTACTTTGTTAAGTGGACGTTGTAACCGCATGATTAGCGGAATAACTATTTCAGAATAATGCCATAAAACAATAGAATCATAGTCATTCATTCATTATTCTGTATTAGTAAGTATTTCTCATTTCTAATTTGTATATATAGAGTAGAAGTAACGATCTATATAATTCTTTAACTATTTCTTAAAAATAATTATAAATAACCACATGTTTCAGAAACAATCCTCTTATCCTGGATCGAACCCTTACATATTCTGAAATCAGATTTCACGTGTTTCGAAATTGGAACACTTTTCACCATATATTTTAATGCGGTTAAACTATAATCAATGATAAACGATAAGAATGCCATCTCATGAATCAATGAAGAAGATAGAAACAGAGAAATACAAGGAGATAGGAAGAAAGAGAACTGTTAGAACATTTGTAGTACCTAACAAAACATTGTGTTTATTAAATGTAAAGTTTGGAAATTCTAAAGAAGCTTCTAAGACACATATGAGTCATACTACAATTCTTCCATTTGAATTAAAGGACTTTGTAAAATAAATGTATTTGCAATTCTTGCAAATAAAACTAACAAAAAAGGTTTTGAAAGTCATAAAAAATAAATCATTTTATTACACAACCAAAGTGTTCTTTTATTTTCTCTATAAAAAACATTTATATTAAGCAGTCTCAATATGGAAGAAATAGGGGGTCTACGTTAGAAGCACTTTTTTTCTAAACTACCATTTTTGTCACTTCTTCAAATACTTGAGAATGCTTTAAACACTATAAACTTTTTACGTGAACTCTAGACAGATTTCTAGAATAAAGAATCTTTCGTTATTAAAAAATGAAACATTCACATTAAGGAAATTTTACAAAAAAGACCAATTGGAGGTCCAACTTTGGTCACTTTTCTCTACATGTGAAGGATCTTGTAATAATTAAACGATTAAGACTCAAAATTAACCTAACGTTTTAATTAGCTGAGAAAGCAAATGTAGTTAAATTCGTTTCCACAAACAATGTTAAATGTATCTTCTTTTATAGGTATATCTTTTTCTAAAGCATGTAGCTTAACGATCATCGTAAATTATAGCGCCGCCTTAAATTGCGTTGAATATGACTCAAATGAATAAGTCAAACGTCAAGGCGATCGAGTAAAAAAAAAAAAAAAGAAGAAAAAAGAAAAAAAAAACAATTCAAAATAATTCCATTGAAAAGTTGAGAATGATACTCTCCATCGCGCAGGTTTTTTTGTTTTCTTTCGTTTATGTTTCTTTCTCCCAATACAATCCTGTACATCATCCAATAGAAGTAGCATATGTAATATTTAATATAAAGATTGCGCGTTGGAAGAACGTGGTTTTTTTATCTTCTCCAGGTTCTTGATTACCAAATCGTGTAAAGAACAATAACGATTACGAACCTCGCACATAACTAACCATAAACTCACATATTCTTTTTCATCTAATTCTTGCACTGCTCTTCTATAATCACTGATGTGTGGATACTTTGCAACTTTGCTAACAATCTTTCCTCTAGAGATAAAATACCTAACAAAATATCTTTGTATGACTATAATTTATATTTCATTAAAGGAAAAATCTCAGTAGCATCACTATTTACATTACCTAGATATTTGATCAAAAAATGCGGCAGCTTCACTTTCGACTGATTGTATTTCGGCAAGTGTATCTTCTTGAATTGATACACCAAAGTTATTTCCATCTTCGATTTTTGGAATCAAAAATGAAATCCACATTTTTAACTGAAAATTGAAGAATTAATATCCCTGATAGAAATACTGAAATTTATATTATATACATTAGAATACATATACTTTGTTCAATATATACCAAATTAGAATCTTCCAATAGTTGTCGAATATAGGGCTTAACTATGCGAATAAGATCACATAAGGGCTTGTTACAAGGTACAGGTCCATTTGGTAATACCATTACTTTGGTTCCACTGGTATCGTCTATGCTATTGTCTAACTTTCTTTTCTTTGTAGTGGACTCATTTTCGGAATGATTAAGAATAATAGGATCTGGAATGGGCACATTTAAATCTTGATGAACATCTGATAATTTTCTATTGCAGAAACCAGGAGTTTCCAATAATTCATTCAATTTAACAATCTTCTCTGGAAATCCTTTTAACAGCAATTGTTCAGCCTAAACAAAGTTTTTTACATGTGTGGGTTATATTTTGCAATAAATTAAACAAAAATATGAATTATGGAATAATGACAATTAATAAATTACCTTCGTTTTTAAAGAATCTTTGTATTCTTGAACCTGTAAAATAAACTTGAAATGTAAATGCATTAAGAATAAATTAGGATAAAGTAGTCATACCCAATAGGAAGTTTGCTTTAATTACATATATAAATATTCCTTAAACATAAGTACATTATATATAAAATACTTCACTTGCAATTTGTGTGTGTGGGGGGGGGGGAGAGAGAGAGAGTGTGTGTGTGCGCGCGCGCGCGTGTGTGTGCATATACATACGTATATATATAAATATTCATAATACATTTTCATAAACTCTTAAAATTATAATACTGACCAAAACAACAAACTAACGTGAAAAGGCACATAAGAAAATCGAAAAAGGAATTGCATTATCGATACAACGACACAGCTATACTTTTGCGAGGTATTGAGATAAGATGACTGATCAAGGCCAATCATTAGAAATATCAATAAATTAGAAAACTAATATGCTTAAATGCTGGAAGATAGATATAAAGTTTTTGGAAAATATGAGTAATGAAATACCAGATATTATTTGGAACATAGTGATGCCGGTAAGTTAAACGCTACATTAACCTAAACATCCTTACAATATATCAAACGCACAACGCAAGCTACTTAATTTGATACTTTCGTTTTTTATTATTTAAACAATAGTATAAAATATTTTACCTTCTGTGCTGTAGTATCCGCCATTATACACTCCAAGAAAAAAAAAAGTTTATAAAATATAACCACACTGTCCCTTTGTTGTAACGTACAACTTCAAACAGGAAGTCGTGGTGAATATTCTTACTACGCCATCAAATCAGAATCTGTAATGTTAACGTAGTTATGATGGTTTCTATAGAATTTGAATTTCTCTTTTTTCGTTATAAAGTTATTTTGTTCATCAAAACCAAGATGTTATGGGACTCTTTGATAGGATCACAAACATGACATACTTTAACGTACACGGTGATAATGCAAAATGTCAATTTTCTTATTCTTTCAATTTTTACAAATTTTAATTTGTACTTTCTCATATGAAATTCTTTTTATTATAATTCGTAGAATTCAAACATTTAATAGAAATATGATTTCAAGTAAATACGAATCAATAATAATTATACTCGTTATAGTAGCACGAGTAAAATATACGTTTAAAACAATTATTTAATCATAATTAATTATATCAGAAACAAAATCAATACTCAGATACAAACAATGTGGAACAAGTAAGAACTAAAAGTAGCAGATAGATAGATAAATAAATAGATAGGAAAAGGGAAGGGGGGATAACCTTTTATTAAATATCATGATTAGTTAAAAAAAATTGTAATACTTTCAAAATAAACGGCATATAATTTTACGAATATACTATACGTTCTTTAATGTTTTGAATAAGTCGATAAAATATATCGTTTCATCCTATTACCGCTGTATTTTGTATTTTGTATTTTGTACATCAAGAATCATTTTTCTATATTAACAAAAGTAATCTGTTGTACGTAATTGTTCATCATGATTCATGCATCCATCGTATATTTATTGTTAGTGTATTTTACGCGTGCGCGCAGATAAAAGATACAAGAGATATTTTCAAATTGATTTAATTTTACATTTTGGATCTGGTCAGAATCAAATTACCCATTACCAAACAGGAGAATAATACCAAGGTAGGAACAGGTTTTACATTACAAAATAAAGGAAAATTAATTTGATCTTCAATAACATGAAATGATGGCTAATGATGATAATAATAAT